GACTTGCACTTTAGGTGGTCAGCTCCCTCCGGTCAAGTTAGCTCATTTGCAGATGAGCTCTGATAGCTACAGTACACAGTAATGCAGGCCAACAAATCACATGCATGGGCCACTGCTCTGTACCCCCTATCAGTATTAGTGAGTAGAAACCTGCATAAATATATATATCATATATGTATATACACACACATGCACATATGTATTTATATCTGTTTAAATATGTAGGTAGGTGTGTATATTCATTATCTGGTTTTCAAGTACAGTGAGATACTGTAGTAATTTTCATTAACTTATGTGATCTTGACAGAGTGCCCCATCAAACGCCCAAATAGAAGCAAAGACAAAATAAATCTCATAGAGCTCTCTGGGGCAATCCATTGGCACATTTTCAGGGGTAAGCAAACAATCCAGCAGAGAATAGAGTGTCTGCAATAAACAAATATGTGAAGAGAGTGACCTGTGAGTCTTAATCCACAGGAAGGTGACAGTGACCTCAAAAAGATATTTGAATCTAAATAGCGAGACTGCAACTCCTTGCTGTGCTTCCTTATTGTCTAGAAGCTGCTTTCAGAGGTCAAAGGCCTGAAGAGGTCTTCTAATAAAATGTACCAAAAAACCTTTGTTCTACACTACTTAAAGCAAGGTATATGAAGAAGGTGACATGGTTCAGGCATGTACATTATGGGAAATTCTTAACACTCATTCAATTAGTTTTCTCCTCTAATATTGACTTATTTATAAGCAGCCAAACATGCAGAAGAGTTTAGAATGACAAGGTCTATTAAGTAAATTTAAAATGTCAACATAAGGATGTGCAGTATCAGATTGTTTATATATGAAACAGAGCTCAGCTCCATTCTTTAACAACATTTAATAATGTAGGGCCTCATTATCAGAGTTTGAGAGTAACTAACACTAATTAATTTAGTGAACACTTAATTAGAGAGAGGCGGAATGCTCTTATAGAGAAACGAAATGGCTAGCCCTAAGCTACCGAAGACATTACTAACTGAAGCAACACAAGAACTGAGACGTCAGGTTAGTATGTGCAGTGCCATAAACACACTACATTTCTTCTTCTCACAGTGGACTGCTGCAACATGAAACCCCTGAATCCCTGTAGGTCTCCAAAATAAGGGTCCAGGTTTGATACATAAGAGCCTCTCAATTTAATCTCACATACCTTTCAGATACATAGTAATTTTATGCATTTTTACTTCTGCATAGCGCCACATGCTCAGTGGAGGTTTCAGAAATACTGTTTCTTAAAATATAAATAGTTTTAAACCTAATAAATACCTGAATGATACTATTCTCAGGAATAGGAGTAACAGTTTTAAACCTTGTTCTGAGTTGTTCTAAGTAAGGAGGCACATTTTTATCAAAGAGAACAGTCAAGTTGGCCTTTTCAGATTGGTACCTTCTTGTTTCTATGCAGCTGGCAACATACCTGCCAAACAAATTGGAAAGCAACCAATTTTTTATCAGAGAGACACGGAAAAAATACAAAATTTCTTCCCTCTAGCTTTGAAATGCAAACTTTTGTTGACTTTTGAGAACTGTTTGTAACTGCCTTTAGTGCAATGCACAAATACTACTGCACTGGCTGTAAGTCACATGTTAAGTGCCACCAGCCTTGAAACATTTTTATTTGTTCATGCAAAGGTTATCATGCTGCTGCATTTCTAGGAGCTATTCTGACAGCTGAACACACTGGCATATGGCTGTACTTTTCTTTGACTGCAATTTTTATTCCAAGGAGGGCAGAGAGAAAGGACCTAGATTATAGTTTGCTCCTGCTTTCAGAGGGCTGCATCATCAAAAAGCAGATGGAAGCAAAGATTTTGTACGTAGTTTATGTTGTTCGAGAACAGACTACATAAAATCCCGTGTGTAAATTGTACACAAAACTGAGGATTATGCGACACCCAAGTTCAACATAACTTGCCTTGCAGACACCTGCAGCAGCACATATAACCCAGTCTGGCTGAAAAGTCTGTCTATATGTAATTGAAGACAAAAAGGTAACTCTTCTCATCCGCTAGTTCCTATCACAATCAAGTCGAGAATTCGTTATCATTAAGTATAGCATACACTTCAGGTTACCAGTGACATGCCTAACTGTCTATATTCCAAAGGATTAGGTAATTTTTATCCCTTGCTCATTTTCACACAGTATTAGTCAAATGCAGTCTAAAACAGTTATTAACTCATTCACAGCTATTCTATTTGGACAGGTTGTTGCCTACTGTTTCCATCTCTACACTCCTCTGTTTGTGGTAAGAGATCATACTGCCTTTCTGTGTCCTCACCAGTCCTCTGATTCTCATCCCCCTAGGTGGGCAGCTTGTGCAGACTCATGCTGTTTAATAAATTCTCCCACTGACAAGATTTCTCTGGGAAATATATGCACTGAAGGCTTCTTGTCCTAACGGCATACAACACTAACACACACAATTAGAAGTGACTGAAATATTGATATATTAGAACACTACAAAATTGCATTTTGACATGAAACAGCAGTAATGCTGCTTGAAAATAAAACCACTGGCTGACAAATGTTAAAAAGATTCACTTCTTACTAAAATTTGTGAAAACTCTTTTGGATCACCTCAATAAACACAAAAGGAAAAGATCACATTGGACTGCTTCAAGTTAAAGCATTGTTCCTTGACCAACTAAATTCCCTTTTATATATGGAAATCCATATTCTTTAGAAATCATTGTTCTCATAATTAATTTGTATGAAGCATAGATATAAAACAAGTTTAAAGAACAGCACTATGATCAAAGGAGTAAAAAAAACAAAAAGCCAAGCCGATGTAAACCAGTGTCCTTAACAGTAACAAAGGTGGCAACAGGTTTTAAAATGCTGTCAGAGAACAGTAGCCAACTTATTAACTTCTTGCTACTGCCAAATTCACATTACAAAAAGCAGAGAGTCAATTCACTACTGCCTTGATTAAGCAGTACACATAAGAGGGGGAAATAAAACACTTAACTGATGGTGAAATTTTCCAAACTGCATATTTGAGAATATACATGGCCACTAACTAAATCATCTCACTATTATCAGAATAAAATCTAGAAAGAAGAATAAATAAAAGTAACAGAGTCTCTTCCCATTAATCTTCAAGACATATCTCCAAAAGTGCTAACTAATATCATCAGATACTCATGGGTTCCACGCCACATCCTGGGTGTTCAGATAGAGGATACTAGCTCTGGATACTGTAGCTGGGGTAGCAGCTCTTAAATGCTGTACCTCAAACAGCAGCTGCATTGACGGAGTCACAGACACACGTTCATTGTTTGTAGAAGTCAGAACCTAGAAATTATCAGTAAATTTTTCAGCAAAAGCAAGCTAAGATACACTGTTTAACAAGAATGTGATCAGGGCAAGCACGTGCTTATTATAGCCCCACAAAGGAGCAAGCATTATCTGCAAGACCATGCACATACACTATTTCTTGAATGTAGCTAAGCAAACTTTTTTTGAACATAGCTATAGCTTTTTACTTGAGAAACACAGAGGAGGAAAAATTCAAAAGGTTTTACTTGATCTTGTTTGAGTTTTTCATAGTTTAATTAATTCAAAAGATGACTAGCCTCCTTCACCAATGCGAGTTCTCCTGAAGGACAGGTGAAGTCTGTCTCATTGCCAGTGGAAATACACGGAAAATGATTCAGAGAAGGTGCCTAAACTTGGGTGGTCTGAAATGTCCCTTCAAAAAGCCACTTTCTGTTCATTAGCTAAAGCTGGGCTATGCAGCTAGCCCCAGACAGGCGCCTTGCTGAGCAACCAGAGACCACATCACTAGATAGGTTTAAGTTCTTAAAAGAGGAAAGCTTCAGAGAATGTGCCAAACTACAATCACCTTCCTAAGGTTATGTTAAGATTTTAGATTTGGATTTCATTACATTACAGCATTTTGGACAGTTAACAAAATTGCTTTAGCTGTATAATTAATAGGAAGGGAATAAGAACTCCTGGTAACAACATTAGTTCTTAAACTGACTTACATTTCCCAAAACTAGCCTTCCTTACTACAGTGATGTGAGGACTTCACTTTCACTGAGATGCTTTCCAAATGCCAGTTTCAATAATCTTATGATTGACATCCTGAATTACATCAACTCATACACTAGGAGGCACAATCATCCTTAGAGTATAAGTAGGCTCATTTAAGCTTTTTTGTTGTACAAAATAGGCGAGACACAATGCATTGATCAGATGCTAAAATATTACTTAGAGATAGTGAAAACTAAAGAAATCATAAGATGGAAAAAAAAAAAAGGGACACATATTGAAAAACTGTCTCCAGAAAAATAAAGGAAGAGGCAAATGTGAAAACAGGTGGAGGGGAAGCCACTATATCTGCTTCTCAGTTGTTCACCTTGTTATCATCCATAACAGTGTTGAGCGACTGAATCCACATAGGATCCGGGTAATATTAGCTTGCTCTCTCAGAAGAGATGACAGGAGAACTGCAAATTGTATTTTAATAGAATCCTATCACTCTAATGCTTAAATAAGACCACTGCACAGCAATTAAAACTTCAGAAGACTTAATGCATCACTGAAACAAGAAGCTTTTTTAGCATCAAAACCATGCTTTTTTCCCTTTGCTTGCTTGATAGAGCAAAATGACTGCATTTTATGTAATAATTACCTATTTCTGTTTTGATTATAGGAGAGTATGTCATTAGTCTTAATGATATGGGTGAGGTATGAGAGGTTTCATGGGCTTGGGAAGAAAACAAGCTGCCCTCTAAGGCAGCACAATCAGCATCATTCAGGCTAGTACTTTCCCATCTACTAGCATCCTGCCCCACCTCCAGTCTTTCCATAACCACCAGTGCTCTGCACCCACATCTCATGGCAGAAATATGCAATAATTTGGTTTCTAACACCTTCTCCAAATTCTGGCATTGTCCATTTCTGATGGAGAACGATGCCTCCAGGAACAGGTCCTAGTAAGAACATGTGTGCTACTTACCATCTTTCCATTCTCGGCTTGCATGGTGTACAGAACCAAACAGCTCACCCGCTGTCAAAGCTTTTGGGTTAAGGTCATTCCAAACAGGCTTTTGTTTCATGTTCATGTACTTGTGGTGCAGAACTTTCACCACCTGAAGAGGAGGCACAGGCTGCACGTTAGCAATACAACTTTGATACAATAGGACTCTTTTACTTTCTTCCTGAACTGGGTCTCAGACTGCAAATCCCTGCAGTCAAACTGTTCACCTTAACTTACTCCTGCCTTTGTGCTAGTCTAGCCCCAAATTTCCATTAAACATAAGAGTAGGAACTTAGGAAACCCTTTCCTGCTAGGAAAGGAGAGTGGCTGTACTCTGCAGTCGATCTTCTCTAATAGAAAGCATTGAAAGAGGAAGAAAATCCACACAGCTTCCAATATTTAGTAGCAGAAATGGGCGAGCATTATCTATCAGAATTATTTGTCTAGTGTTTTGGCAATATATTCCACTATTTCTGTCTAAAAGCCTAATTAAACCATCCTGCTTCTCCTTCCAGAACAAAGTATTACTTTATCTATCTGTCAGAGTGAATATTCATTACGTGGTGCCATGATTAATTTTCCTTTAGGACATGCAAACAACACATAAAATGTAGAATTTGCTTGTAACATTTAAGCTTTGCCATTGCACATCATGTGGCTGACGAGATGGCCTGAACAGCGTGTTATTACACTGCAGCCTAAGGCAAAGGCAACACGCAGAATGTTTTCTGCAAGAACCATGACAGTTTCTTTACAATATAAGATAGAAAGCGTGCTGTGTAGGCAGGCAGATACCTTACCCTTTCCACTCTCCACATTTCCAATGACAAATAGAGTGACGCACTGCCAGTAACTCCTCCAGCTGAACAACCTACCACACAGAAGGGATAGATGGTGAACGCCTTTCCTCTCTTGTGCTCCTCTAAACAGAAACACAATTATTCACAAAAATTATCTCCCCCTTCATGTTCCTATTCCCTTTAACAGGATAAATGCACTTACACCTTATTGGAAGACTTCCCTCAGCTGAGCTGATGCTGCATCAAGCAACATCACTTTTTCTCCCAGAAAATGGGAAGAGAATTGGCTTAAATTAATGAATGCAGTTACCTCAATAAGCTATACAGACATACAGACCAGTAGGATTTTGCCAACCCAGGGACATAGAACAGTTACCACAATTTTGCCATCAATTTAGCAGAGTGAATTCCACACTCGGAACAGTCATGCAGATACAATTTGGTAAAACACAATATCAGTCCACTAAAGTAATACATTGCTTCCAAAGAAATAGTTCTGTGAGCTGCAGAATGAAAATAGCTCGGCTGCTTACGGATTTCTGTCTTAGCAAAAAGCATCCACATTGATTTTCTAAAGTCCAGTAGGAACAAGTCCACATTCCGCAGTGCTCGTCTTTTGATTCACCCAGTTAGCAGGAATCAAAACACTCTATAGAAGGTTGATTGCAAAGTTCATAATACCCCAAGGTATAGCTTATTGTCTTATACCTTTCTGTCAGGATAATGGAACAAGATAGACAAGAGCAGAAAATCCTTTATAAATCCTGAGATCAGTCACATTTAACCAGCTTGGTTATTTCAGTTTCCAATAAACCCTAATAAAGGAAAGGAGTGTGCTATCACATACAGCGGATGTGGATGTTCCTTGAAGGAGAGTGGGAGTATACTTTCTCAGGAGCCCAAAGCAGCACACTTCTTATTTGGTCTGTATAATAACCAGTGTCTCTAAGTTTCACCTTTTCACCCTATGTGTAATTCAAATGAAAATTAGAGTTTTAACTTAGCTTACTGACAACTAATTCTTATGAGTATACATGCATATCATACATACATGTATATGCATGTTTTTAATGTGTATAGCACAATGTGCATTATATCATAGAGAAATACCAGAACACACAGATGTCACATGCAGCCATGCACATTCCAAATACATGCCTTTCTAATTTACATGTTTTTTCTCCCTTACTCTTCTATTCCTCCCTATAAACAATCACTAACAATTAATTTGCTACGGAGTACAAATGCTTGGTACTGTACACACACAAACATGGTTTTTTAACATATTTCCTTATGGGCATATTTATCATACTGCAGTGCATTACTGCCACAACAAAATGCCTTTGAAATACCGAGACATTGAGGACACTATCAATATCGTAACATACTAAAAAAATAACCTTCATATCTAATACAACCTATTTGCAATTACTTTGATTGAAACTCTTAAGGGGAGTAATTAAAAGAAATTAATTCTTTTACTTTGAGAATAAAGCTCTCTTCAGGCTGCAAGAGAAGCTCCAGAGTAGATTGTTTAACCATCTGTTCAAATTGCAGGTTCCTCTTCCTTGGAACATCCAGAGCTTGAAACAGGTCACTGATCAGGCCCATGAAAATCGGGATATCATCTGTCACTATTTTAGGCAAATCGAAGTCTCTTAAGGCTTGCATAAACACCTGGAAAAGGATGGTAAACCACACACCACAAGAGCATTAAATCCTTTGCTTTTTAGGATTCTCTTTTTATTCAAAGGGAAAACCCCAGAAACAGCTCCTACTCTTAGATGCTTTTAAGTGAAGATTTTACCTGATTGTCAGGTCTGTTCTTGTCTCCTCGTTTCAGAGAGCCAGCAACTGCCAAAATTGACTTGACAGCATGAAGTCCCCAGTCATAATGGTCCTGTGAAAACATTTTAACTAGTCATGTTAGCATAGGAAATAAAACTAAATAGTAGTGTTTAAGAAGGAAAACAATCAGTTTACACACAGAGTAAAATGACACCTTTTTATTCCCTTCGAATCTTGCAGTGGTTTTAGGCCAGTGTTGGAAGTCTACTAAAGAAAAAAAAAAAAAAAAAGAAATGTGTATTTAATTTTTAGTATTCCACCACTTTATTTTCTATTTCTAAATGGCCAAATTCACACCATCAAGTATTATTGTATTCCTTGCAACTATACCTCCATGATGAAACAAGGCAAGCAAAAAATTGCTGCAAAACGTCCACTAATTTGATCTGATACTAGCAATACTTTTCTGTTTCCAGAAGAGAAGACTGGACAGACTATCAACATATTTTGCAACCAGCTCCAACACCAGAATTGAAGGAAAAGAGAAACAGACAGGTACTCAGCCTAGAGGAAAAGCCTAGAAACATGTGGTAAGTGAAGGGCAGAGAAAAAGCCTATATCCTCCCTTAAGCCTTGACAGTGGGAAGGCAGGTATTTAGTTCAGAAAGCACAACTTTTTCCATCACACATATGCTCTTCAGTCCCCCTTCCTCCTTTTTCCAGGGCTGTGTAACACTCACCTCTTTCACTCTCCTTCCTAGGTAGCACAGAAGTAGAAAGAGGGAGTTTGAACCATTTTTGAGATTTAAGCAATTTGAATGGTACCTTTTAGGACTGAAAAGAGCATCCAAATTTTGCAGTTTGAAGAGGTCTACCATGAAGTTACAGCTCTCTAAATTTAAGCCTACACCTGCACTTAAAGGTGTTCTTGCAACTCAAGTAGAGATGGTTTATTCTGGTATAACCAGCAGTGCGATCAGGTACTATAAGAGCAGCTGGCTAAGTATGTGGATAACCAGCTCCACTCTAACCTCTGTGCTGCCACAGCCAAGTTACACTGCCATTACCTCTTTACTTTAGCATGCATCACACCACTCGTGGTGGTCTGCCATTTCCTTGGTGTGTGTACACTACTCCTCTCTCAATTACAAAACTCTATCTGGGGTTGCAACTACCCTGCTGTCAGCAACCAAACTGGCTACCCGTCAGGTAGGGTTTGAGAACATTTGCTGCAATCACACCTATGACTTCAATATAAACATAGCCTGGTTGGTATTATCACCGAAACCAAAAGAAAGAAAAAAGAAAAAAGGGAAAACAAAACCAAAAACCAACCAGTAACAAACTCATAACTTAACAATACACAACTTTTAAAGCCAGCAGATGTCCTGATATGTGCCACTATCCCCATCCATGATAGTGGCACTCCACAACTGTGAGGCAAATACACTAAATATATCACAAAGAAGAGAAAATAAGCAATTTTCAACTTCCAAACAGTTCATAATCAGTAAGAAAAACTGCCATTTTTTCCTGAGGTACTAAAGATGCTGAGTATCTGCAATGAAAATGAGTCTCCACATTTTAGAAATGCTATACTTAGGCAAAGGAGTTAAACACAGAGCTGATTAGGAAAATAGGAAATTTAGGAACATACTGGGCTTAATGAGCTTTTGCTCTTTTTTTTTTTTTTTGTCAAAATTATTTGTTGGTTTGTTGTCTGGTGGATGGTTATAAGAGCAAGCTGGATTGTACAAAGTACAAGGACTTTAAGATATCCAGGCTATTTGCCACAGCATGACAGCACCAGAAGTCCCCTTCTTCACGGCATATCATCTGAAAGCCCTGACAACCCCGCTCTGACAGTTTTCATCAGCTAGGATCCTAGTGCTCCCAAAGGTATATTGAGAGACCTTAAAGCTCCAACACTAGGCCAATATTTTCAGAGCTCTCTGAATTGCTGCAGCAGCCCAGAATTTTACTCAAAGGGATTTGCTTTCTCCTATTTCCATTAAAAGTAAAACAAACAAACAAAATAAACAAACAAGAACATTCTAGTTTTTGCTTCAAACATTAATTTTGTTATTACTATTATTAATATCAAAAAGGAAAACAATTGTACAAGTGATTTTACTGAATTCAGAAAATTACTCCAGGACAAAGTAATCATTAGAGTTGAGGAACTTCTGTTCTAGGAAAGCAAACAATATTGCTATCTTAAGATATACAACATTCAAATTCATTAACTCTAGAAAAACTGCAAGAATGTGTCAGGAAAACTTCAGGATATTTAGAGATAATTTCAAAATTATGCAAGCATGAAAATAAAGTTGCTTTTCCATTTATAATCGCCCTGCTTGCTTGAGTTTATGGCTTAAGGTTGAACGGTTCTCTGGAGTTCTTATTCCATTAATAAAACTGAATATTAAGAATATCTTGTGAAAAACTTTACAGTTGGAAATTAGTAAACATCATGGATATGGGGAAGAAATTATAAACCTTCCAAGTCTTATAAGGTAGTTTTTTGAGATAACTATTCTGAATATGAATTTTTCCTGGTATAATAATTAAATTTTTTTGTAATGTTTTATTTCCATTTTTCAAACAATCCTCCTCCACTGTATTCATCCAAATAGAATATATTATTTGTTATTCATAACAATTCCTACTCTCCTTTAAGGTTTTTCTGTTCTCCAACAGATAGTTATATCTCTAATATAGATATTAAACAACAGCATGATGTAGTTCAGGCATCCCACGTATGAAGAAGTGACACACAATTATTTAATGCAAAATTAATGCATTACAAATGTCCCAAGATCACAGGAAAGGGCACTTTCTTCTAAATTCATATCTGACAATTCAATAAGGATGGACATGTGATTTAAAGTGCTCTTCAAAATAAAAGATAAGACTATATACATAAAACCCCCTATTATTATACAATGTCCAGCCACACTGGTATGGAGTATGTGTTAGTTAACATGGGTCAAACCCAGAAGCTCAGAGACACCTTCACCTGTTTAGAAAGCAGCTTCCTGCAGAGAGTATACAAGGTAATAAGCTTCCTGGTTAACAGACGTACATCAATAAACTCTTCAGCAACCAACATAATTTCAGAGATCAGTTCAATGTCAGTGACAGCCATGGCACAAGGTCTAAGGAAGAAAACAAATCTCATAATCCAAATACACAGATTAGTATTTAAACATGGGAAGAATAAGTCACTTAAATCAAATGACTGATGTGTGCAAACATTTTTTAAAAACAGAGCTCAAGAGAGTCACAATTAAGAATGTCAGTCAAAACTAACAAGGACCTTACTTCAAAGTAAAAGGAGCTAATTAGGCACTGTTGATTGTTAGTATTCAGTAGCATTATTGTACACAAAGGAGACAGCCTAGAAAGGCAGGGTTTGTGAGACAGGTACTACCAAAACTTAGAGCAGGCAGAGTCTGCAGCAGTGTCACTTGCCACCAACGACTGGAGAACACTGCCAGCAGCTGTATCGGGTCTGGAAGTCAAGTGCACTACTCTGCCATTGCTAAAAACACTATCATTTTTTAAAGGACTTCAACTTTTGGAGGGCTTTAATGCTTTTATATGAAGTTATGGTTGCCTTTAGAGGTTTCACTGTTTGTTTCTTTTTAAAATATAACCTTTAGTTCAAACTTTTAGAACAAAACCACAGCTGTTTTAGTGATATAAATGAGGAAAATCTCCAATTTAAAAAGTAACACAAAGCAATAATGCAAAGGCTAAACAATTTTCTCATTAAAAATCACTGCCTAAGTTACATAGTAGCAAAGAAGAGATCTTGAATTTTGTATTCAGGTCAGCTACAAACCAACAAATTTGTCCCTCAGAGCACTTTTCTTACTGCTGACAAATACAACAATTTATTTTGTTCCCCATTCATAATTAAATATGACAAAATTAAGACCAGTGGTTTATTCTAGCAGTGTATTTCTGACAGAAATCAATAACATATAGTCTAGAAAAAGAGTAAGCACTCTTCTGTTAGACAATTTTTAAGTAAGCTATTCCCTAAGAAGCATTTCTTTATAAGCACAAACAAGGGCTGCTATATGTATTGCAGTCAATCATAAAAAATTCTATGTTCCTCTACCTACCATAACCAATACCCTTCTCGCAAACAGAATAACTGCTTGCAAAAAAAAATCATAAAAAAAAAATCAGGCTAGTAGTATTTAATATGTCTTCTCTCCCTTATGAGATTTTATTAGGTGGCAAATATGTGGAGTTAATGCTTGCCCTCAGGTTCACCTTCTCTGCTCCAGGCTCAGCTTCTCTGCTCCAGGGTGGGGCCCTCCATGGTCTACCTGTGGGTTCCTGCTCTGCCACTGAATTTCCATTGGCTGCAAGGGGACTTCCTTTTGTCTTCTCCTGCTCCATGTGGTTGAACTGGTTATGGGTCTTTTTGTCCTTCCTTCTGGCAATGAAGCTCTCTCTCTGTCTGTCTGGCCTTTGTTTAGGCTGATGGTCATCTTTTGTTTGGTCAACAGTTTCTCCTCCAGGTTCATCCCCACCTTCTTCTTTTCAGGACAGCCCTTCCCCTCACCAATATGGATTCACAGAGGTGTTTCTCTAGTGCTCATTGGCCCAGCCTGGGCTGGGGCGGGGTCCACTTCGGAGCCGGGGAGCTTTTTGCTCTCATAAGGTTGCACTTCCCCCACTACCAAAAAAATGGCTTCCCCCCTCCAAACCCAACACAAAAAGACATCAAAAGACATCAAAATCTTGATGTACTTTTTAATACAGAAGAAAGTATAGAATCAGAGAATCATAGAATCATTTAGGTTGGAAAAAACCTTTAAGATCACAGCCTTCAAGCATAAACCTAACACTGCCAAGTCCACCTCTAAACCATGTCCTTAAGTGCCACATCTACAGGTCTTTTAAATATCTCCAGGGATAGTGACTCAATCACTCCCCTGGGCAGCCTGTTCTGATGCTTGACAACTCTTTCAGTGAAGAACTTTTTCCTAATATCCAATCTAAACCTTCCCTGGCACAACTTGAGGCTCTTTCCTCTTGTGTTATTGCTTGTTACTAGAGAGAAGAGACAGACACTCCCCTTGCTACACCCTCCTTTCAGGTAGTTGTAGAGAGTGATAAGGTCTCCCCTCAACCTCCTCTTCTCCAGACTGAACAATCCCAGTTCCCTCAGCTGCTCCTCATAAGACCCTTCACCAGTAGTACCTGTGTTTCAACTTGTTCACAGCAGCAACAGTGATGCCCAGTTCCGCCCTAAGTTTCTAGCTTTTAAAAATCAAAGGGATTTACTTTTCAGACAAGCAGATCCCAGATAGCACGTTGATAATTGTGCCTCCCCAGACAGCCTGGCAGTGCCTTGCAGTTTGCCCCACTGAACTTCAGTATGGTGAGAAATGAAATCACAGAATCATTTTTTTCTCAAGTCTTGATTAGATCAGTGAAAAGTGCTAATGCATGAGCAAGGATTTCAAGTGACAACTCTTTTTTAAGCAAGCCCTGCACCATTTAAGTCAAAGACCATTACCACATAGTTTGAAGTGCAGCTCCAATACTTTGTCAGAATAAATTGGTATCATTTTACTGCCCATCATGCCGGAGCAACTGCTTGTGGAATCAATTCACTCTCAGAACACTATTTTGATAACAAACTCACCAAGCACAGCATGCAAAATACAGTCAAATCTTTTAAATTCAAAACTTTCTTCCTTGAAATATTAACATTAAGATATAAAGCATAAATATGTACTTTAAGAAAAAGATAATGGGTTATCCTACAGTGTCCAAAAGCATATGAATTTTTTTGCTGTGCATTATACTTTTCCCAGCTTCTCAACAATCACGCACGTGATACCTTTCTAGGAAAGAGTATACAGCTTCATTTTCAACTGGCAGTTATGAAATATCTACGAACTTGTGCATGCCAACAGCCAAGGAAGAACGTGATAGCTAAACACTTATTCAAATGGTTATTTTACTAGGTTAAGCCAGCTGTGAGGATTCCTATTTACCACAAAACGTATTTACATGTATTTAAATACATTCTGTGTCTTCACAGGTACCTTTAAAACTATATGCAGATTTAAAAAATGCAAGATATACATTTAATTTCCCTTGTCATTGTGGCATATGGGCACACACACTTGAATACTGATTTTTTTTTTTTTACACAGAAATTCTGAAGCAAACACAAATTGCATTTCACTGCAAATCAAGCCTAATAACATTAGGTGACATATGTACTCTGCATGTAGACTTGATATACTTGTATACCATAAAAATACACTATAGCATGCTTGCCTGAGCAGAGCTTTAAGGTTTTCAGGTAGTTCTCTCCAACCTGGGTATCTGGGGTTCATGGAAATAAATATTCCAACTGATTACTTCAATGTAATGTTTTCACCAAGGAATAAAAATCTGTTATAAGTAAGATAACACAAAAATTTTACAGTTGGATTAGAAGTAAACAACTACATCATGCAAAACCAGCCATCACGGGTCAGGTGACAAATGCACATCTGGGCCAGGATCCAGCCTTGCACAATGGCCAAAAGCAAATGCCTAGGAAAGCTAACAAGAGCTGGGCAGAGGCATTTCCCTGGTAGGCACCAGCACTGAATTTGGAAGGAAAAGACTGGACTGTTAGGGTAACAAGGAGTGCATATGGCTGAAGTATGACTTTAGAAGGAATTAATTTTTAAAGCCTGTAGAATAAATAAGACTGATAGGGATGCAGTGGGCTTGAAAAGGCCTGGAGGCAGCATCAAGTAAAGGGAGCAGAGGAAGGAGAACATGCTACAGTGGAAACACCAGGCCTATCTCAAAAAACACCAGGAAACATAGGAACTCCTGAGACTTCTTGCAAGGTTGAACCCCACCAAACTTTGCACCCATATGATGAAATGATTTCACATGGTGTGACTTGAACAGGACCAGAGTTTTGTCAGCAGAGCTTTAACTGGATTCCTGTAGGGCCTGGAGTTCACTCACATTTATTGCTACATTTGGAAGAGAAAGTTATTTTAAGGTAGTATATTACATAGGTGATTTAACGTTAACATCTACTCCCTCACTGCATTTACAAAGGGTTTCAGAGGAACTCTGGAAGAAGATTTTACTGGTTCACTATTTATAGACTGCAAAAGACAATAAATAAGCACTGCTAAGATACTCACTTCTTTTTCTTGTTCCTAATTGCATCATGGATAGTCTTCACTTGTACTGCCACCACTGACAGAACTTCTATCGAGATGCGATTGAATTCAACAAAACATCCCCAAGCTTCCAGATAGACCAAACCTTTACAGATATTACCTATAGACTAAAATCAAAAGTGAAAGATTTAATTTTTTTTTCTTGAAAGCAATGATTTCTGATATACTTCATATGCAAAAGAAACTAAACAACAATTTCCATAGTGCTTAGCAGAGCATCTCACCTTGTAACCCATCTGCTCAGAACAGTTGAAGACATATACCATCATACCAAGGGCTCGATCTTTGGTGGTCTCTGTTTTACCTGTGCCAGCTGGTCCTGCAGGAGCAGTGCTCATTGTTAGGTGGAGAGACTGGGTTAGAGTAATGTGACACCTGAACATACGAAAAGCAATTGTTAGCATTGCAAGGAATATCTACAATGTTGGGAAGTTTTTTTTCCAAACCTTATGTTTCATGGGAGATCTGTTCTGAGTCCACTTAACTCATTACAATTTAATGTTTCATGTTCATGTAAAATCATGATGAGGCATTACTTGGCAAATGCTTATTTTAGATATGAAAACCAATCACATCAAAATTTTTTTAGCAAAAACGAATATCCGATCAGCGGTCACACAGGACAAGAAACAGGAAGTTTTAGTTGCCACTTTGCCTATTTCAAAGACTTCAGCCCCAGAATTGTTCCCCTCAACTGAGGGTCATAAGCACTAAGCCAGCCAGGATCACTGAGTGCTTTGATCTGGATCACAAATTTTGACAATCCAAAAAAAAATCCATCCTGGAGTAAAGACATTTCCAGAAAAAAAGCTTCACTGTATGTGGTATGAAAAAAAGTACTAGTTTGGACTTTAACACACACACAAAATATTCTTTTACTGGAAACTCCTGATTGACCTTGGTATAGATCCACTCATATTCTTCTGCAGACTAGACACTGAATATATACATTAAGTTATGCAATAAATATTTTAGTTATTTTTAAAGTAATGGATCATACTGTTACTTACGTATGCACATCTACCTGCACATACACACTCAAAGATGTTGTATCTTAATAACCTTATAAAAGGCACATGAGGTGTGAAAGAACACTGAACTTCTAAGAAACATTTAACTTGTTATTCACTGAAACAGATAAAGCAGACACTGTTATTAGTAACAGTCATTACCTGTCAGTCAAAGATGTAATAACTAGCCACAGGGTATTTCCCAAGTACTCATAAAGTACTGAAACTGAGCATCACAAATGTTGGCAAAACAGTGTTTTTGAGTGCAACAGCCAAGCAAAAGCTCGGAAACTGGTGACCTAAAAAGCCATTGTAGAGCCATTATGCCAGGTAGGAGCTATTCAGATGAAAGAAATGAGATCCATCACAAAGCTACAGCTGTCATCAGTAGGTCTCACACCTCATTCCTTGCCATTTATTAATAAAAACTACTACAACCAATTAAAAGGATTAGACACGCCTCAAGGCATTTGTGCTTTTATACAGGTGCAAGTGTAATATAAAATGTTTTTAAAAGAGCTGTTACAGCAGAACTCATTGCCACTTATTAAACCTTAGAAACAATACAGTCTTTGCATGGGAGCAGACATTACTTTGACCAGAATGAGTTTCATTTTACTCCTCAAGCTTTGTTTCTTCTTGTCTTAATGCTACCTTAGAAACCCATTTTATTTCTGAGGCTCAGGAGATCAGAAAGAAAATGAGAATTCTCTCCTATTCCAGCCTCCATCCAGTTAAATGTTTTGTGCATACAAACCAGCAACATATGCCAGCCACCTTAGTTTTACCCGATTGAAGTTTTACATAGAGTGAGCACTTTGGTTTAAATAAACACTCAAAACTGTAATTGTATGTACTCAAAGAGTCGCCAGAGCAGAGGAGTGCCTCTAGCCTTTCCCTAGAGATACACATGTACATCTCTAAAAGGAGAGCATAACACACTGTGTTTTGCTGTGTTTGAATGATTGAAGATGGAATAATTAAAAGCAGAATAGCTAAAGGTATTTGGAAAAACTGCTCAGATTGCCCAAGGATTGTCTGCACTCAAGTTTTGTGATCTGAAATTTAAAGGAAATACCTTGCTGCTCACAGAAAACCTACTAAAAGAAGTTTGAAGCGTTCCCAGAAGTAGGGTACAAGTAGACATCTGACTTTTTTTTCAGGTAACTTTTAAATTCAGAAGGCAGTAGCCTATAAAAACACAGGCATGGCACACAGCTCTGAAGCAGGCTGTCTTCATGATTATACCTACTCCACCTCCACTGTGCTGGTGCCCACATGCAGATCCAGACCCAAACTTGGTTTAAGTACTATTATTTTTTGTCAAAACCACTAAAACTGTGTATGTACGATATAGCTGAACCAAACACATAGCTTCTGAGCTACAAGGCTTGCTACAACATCTCTATCATTAACGTCTCTGGAGCAAATGGTCATGATTTTCTGCTGATCACCCGAGGAAAGTTCTCCAAGCAGCACACTAATAAAAGCATTTAGCTGAGTGACCTGAAATTATTTAAGTAACCCTCTAGGACCAGATGATCCCAGTACCATCTACCTTTATTGTTACCAGAAATCAGTTCTGTCAATATCATTAATTAAATCACCACAAAAACTGGCTTGTATGTACAAATTTACTGATATTAAACAAGAGATGCTAGAAAAAATCCTGGTTTAAACAGACATTTGAACCACCTCCAAAACAATGACAGTTCAGATGAGCACAAATACTGAAGATGATCAACTAGGCAGTGTAGGAGGAATGGATGGATAAGAAGATGTGCATGAAGGAGAACTGTAAATTTTGTGCTTACAATCTCCATAGAGTTATGCACCAGACTCCACAAAAATTGTACTAATTGCATGAGAACATTTATTGTCAAACTGTTTGAAAATAGACTTCAGGAAAGATCAGCGACTTACATTTTAAAAATAGGCAAAGCAATGAAGGGAAGATCACAAAATATGGTATGAACAATTATACAGTTACATTGTAGAAAGAAGCAATGGAATTTTTCAGGTTTCGTATTAATAGGGAAGAAAAACAAACACAGCCGCTGCATGTAATTCTAAGGAGGCAAATGTAACTTTATTAGAGAGATATAACTTATTGGGTAGCTAGTGTGAGATAGAACTATGCTTGAACATGTTTTAAAACTCTGGCTTAAAAATGGGCAGTGAATTAGTGAGACCTTTAACACTCCACTTTCTGTATTATTTTTATATAATATACAAAAACACCTACTGGTGCTGTTTTTACTGAGACAGAGTTAAAGGCCCAGAAGGTAATACTCCATGCAAACAAATTATTTGAGAATCACAGACTGAATCTAATAGATTTTGAAAATTCTTGGAAAAATAAAACCAGAAGTTAATTTCACTGGCCCCCCTACCTTTTCTGTATCATATCATAAAGGAGATATCAATAACAACATTCTGAATGAAATTGTCTAGCATTCTGAAATATTTCTGTCATCTTCCTTTAAACACACCCAAAGCTCCACTGCTTTATGACAGTGAGCTGCCATCTGTGGAGAGGTTCAGGTGATCTTTCCTAGTTCACTCTTTTTACAACAGAACCACTCCACAGTCCCCACCACAGGTTCAGGAAGCAGCAACAGCATGAGATAGTGCTCTGCTCTACTTGCAAAGTGACCACAGAAACATAGCATGCCTGGATCATATAGAGATTCATTGTAGATCTGCCCCTGCCTTTCATACAAGCTAGCAGAGACAGATTTGTTTTGTTTTGGTTTTGTTTTTTTAAAAAAGGAACATAAAACACAAGTCCAGGAGAAGGACATCCTGGGAACATATGCCACACTTTGCCACAGACACAGCAGCCAGAATTTACTAAACAAATAAAAAAGAACAAGCCAACAAACCCAAACCTCCAAAACTACACTACCTATTTTATCATCATATTTAACAGCCATGAACTGGACTGAAATTTGCCTAACCCTTCATCTGACCTTTTTATACTCCTTTAATTCTATAGCCAAAGTTCCATATTTTAAACGGTACACTGAGTGAAAGTATTTATTTTGTTTAAAGTCTCCTACCTAATAGCTTCAGGTTGTGCCTACTAGCTCTCGTATAATGAGAAGCAGCAAACAAAGATTAAACTTTATCCATCTTCTCTATTACAGGGATAGTTTTAGACACCTCTATCAGGTTTCCTCCCCCTTAAGTCTCTTTCCTAATTCATATTTCCCTCTGTCAGATTTTCTAGGTTGGAAAAGAAAACCAAAACTACTTAAATTTTTCACAAATAGAAACAATACTCGTCCCCAGGACAAAAACATGCAAAAAAAGCTGGAGGTAAAAAGAGCAAAAATCAAACTGCAGGAGGAACCCTCTGAAGTGAGAGTAAAACTAATAATATTAGAAGTAAACTGTTCATTTTGACACAAACAGAATCAACAGTTCCGGCTTCCTTACACAAATATATGGGTTTAATATTTGTGTGTGTATTGGTTGTATTGCATTGTTCTTGCCACACTGTCATGGTTGACATTTGGCAGTTTCTTTGCTTTTACCTTTCATTTCAGATCAGAATAATCACATGGAAAACCCAGTAATTAAGAGATGATAACAGAAATGGAAGCAAAAATGTATTTCTTTTTTTCAGTAGATGCTAATAACAGTTTATTTACTACAAGATTAAAAATATTAAATATGCCACTCATCTTTTATATGAGACGATTTCACATTGTACTTATTTTCACCAAATTAAACAAAAAGAAGATATCCATACCTGCTTCTTGTGACAATTCTTCAGGGCTGATGCCAAGCCCTCTTCCAGCTTCCTGAAGGCCATTTCAACATCTGAAACCCAACAGATTTGTGAATCAGTAAGTGCAACCTGGGCTGGGTAGTCGAAAACCCAAGGTTCTCTTTGCTTCTCTTCATAGGCCAGTACCGCCTCCATGATGTAGAGACACACTGGTTTGTGTACAGTTTCCTCAAGGTATTGCAACCAAGACTCTGCCTTTTGAAGAATAAAACCCCAAACAAGCAGAAATTTATGCATGTAACATAAATGGCGCATTTTATACTATCAATATAGGAAGCTCATATCATTAATCTTTACACAGGCTTTTCTTTACATCAACATTCTTTACAGACTTGAAGTGACAGTGGGTTTGTTTTCTTTCATTTTCTCTCTCCTACCACCTCTTCAGTAGCATTTAGCTCAGAAGAGCCCTTCCCAATTACTGAGACACCAGACACTGTTTTGTTTTACATCTCCATTTGATTTGAACACACAGGCATACTGTCTTAGAGCTCCAAATCTGAAAGTCTGAAGTTTTTCTGTTCACAGACACAGAGTAAACACAGACAATACAGTCTTTCCTATGTCTCTACATGCTCAAATGTAGCTGTATCTTTGAGAAACTATCTTTAAGAGGCAAGCTGCATATATTTGTTCATTCAGTCTCAGGCCTCCCTGCTGAGACAATCAATCATTAGAACCACATGCAACATTGATTTTATGCAATGTGAATGCTTATCCATTCAGCACTGTTCTGAGAACAATAAATTTATTGTCTCAGAAGCTGCTGATCTGTTCTTTCTGACCTACCACTATCCAGTTAGCACACACAGTGGCTGGCCAATTAGCAAATATGAGGCTCAAAACCAACTAAAACCCTGTTCAGCTGATAAGGGACATGGGAGAGAGCTGGTGGTCTAGAGAGGTGTGTGCTAAAGGATAAGAGAGATGGGGATATGAAAGTATTCTTTTTCATTGCTCCTTAAAACAACACCATATGCTTCTTAAAGAAAAAAAGAAAAAAAAAACCCTTAAGTACAAGGGACAACTAGAAAATTCATTAAATTATTAGTTTATTACACCATTTTGGATCACAAAACGTTTTGAATTTAAAAAAAATAGTTGTAAGGTTTTTTAATTATTATTTTTTTCTAAATTTTCATTTTTAAAAGCAGCATTTCATGCCATTGAAAGTGTCTATTTAGATTACATCCCAAAGAGGGCAAAATCAGTGAAGGAAATGTCACATAACTCAACATACCTGATCACTGCATTCACGCTCTTCATGGAATGGAACATACGCCTTTTCTCTGCTGGACATCCCAAAAGCAGCATTTATAGATTCCTCTATATTCTCTTGAAATTTAAGATCAGCAATGTTGTCAAAAAGTTTGGTAAGATGACTGGTCACCTGCACCCAAAAATACCAGATGTATAAGGAAAACATTTACCTCAGACTTGTGTCAATCACACTAGTTTATTGCATTTTTTTGTTAAAGTGGATGACCCCCATGCTAACATTTGCTGTACATAATAAGATTTGGTGGTTCAGCAAAGTTTAATACAGTTCTTAGCAACTCACTGGATAACGTGATGTCTTTGCACTAGTCTTACAATTGTGTTTCTTATTCTAATACTTTCAGCACATACAGCTCCAATTGATCTTAGCAAGTAAGATGCATTGAATAACCAGGTGATTAGCCAGCATTTCTTAGGTTTTAAAGATAATAAAAAATTAAACCCCATTTTTTTCTTTCCATAGTATTAGAACACTTATGCCAATCAAACAAATAAGAGTATTTCCAATTTCCCTGATGGTGCAGACTGATATGGCAACACTATCTGACTGCTGCACAATTACTACACATGAGATTTTTATGGGAAAAGCTGGGGGAAAATGGTCACAGACAAAGTAGTGAATAGGGTTAATTACACTATTGTCAGTTGCCAGAGGAGTCTGAAGGACAAAGATAACTCAATATAAAACTGAGAAGTCTTTAAATTGTTATTAATTATAGCTAGTGCTTATTCCACAAATTGCCAATTCGGATCTAAATGCCTTGTGTAAATACACACCTCTCCAAAGACCATGGAGTTTGAAGATCACTGTCTACACACCAGTATGCTTTATGCCTGACAACTAGAACAGAAGATTAGTTTGCTTGCTCTTCTTATATGTGACATACAGCAATGAGTGGATGAAACAAATCACTGAGATTTAGTTATGTGAAGAAGCTATGAGACTATCATCGTGTTTGAAAAGCCTCAGTCTTCAAGCCGCACAAATCTTTCATCCTCTTGTAAAGTATCAGTTCTTCTGTTACATGTCACACCCCTTCAAAAAAGGCTTTGCCTGAGATACACCAATAACTCCAGCACTCAGAGAATTAATGGCCATGGCTGGATAGTCACTGAGGCCAGCAGTATCATCTGGCATGTAGATAACATAGTAGAAAGCTTCTGAAATACATCAAAGTGCCTGTGCTTTTATACAAATTGGGCTTAAAGTGTCACAAAACCTAGCAGATGATTGTTCAAAGGAGGAAAACAGAAGGATAGCTACAAAAACATTCCTCGTACAATAGTCAGCAGTATAGCCAGTAACAGCCTAACAGAGACCATAGATCTTTCAGCCTTACATATCATCACTATGCATAGCATGTCTGAAATTTGATCAATCCGTGCCATAAGGAGAATAGATTTGATGATCTCATTGACCTTTTCCATTTCTAATTCCTGCAGATATACAATCCAAAATAATCTAAATACAATCTAAATAAATGAATTGCACATGGCTAAATTTCCAGCAAGACACAGCACAGGACTTGTAACACTTCTCTGTAGAATGAGTTTCATCTCTCCTTGCTGAACACCTTGTATTTTTGTCCTAGCTTTGGGGAAAATGTTTATTACCTTCCTTACACAAAGTGTTCCTATTTGTAAAGCAAACTAACACTCAGAAACAAAGGTGCAGTTCTATGATACTATCACCTCACATAGCTGGAAAACTTGCCTTTCTGTAGACAGAAGGAAGTACAATAATATGCAGAGAGGCTCACAGGTTTTGGCTGTGTTCCTTTTGAAAGGATGTCTAGCAAGTCTGCTGAAGAGACAAAATAGGAGCAAGGAAAAGCTATGCGCTTTGTTTCTAAATATTCAGCCAGAGCTTTTTCACAAAGAGAAAGTCTGAAAAGAAGAGAGAGTTTTTAATGACACATGCCTTGAATCACCCTAAAGCCAAGAATTCCCTCCCACTTAAGGAAAAAAAACAGACCAAACAGTAAAACAGAGCAATACAATCCACTTTTGATTTAAAATAATAACAATGAATATAGCTGTAAGAAACAGAGAAGGTGGCAAACCTTACACGTTTCCTTTCCAGAAACTGAAAGGGAACATTCTCTTTTTACTTCAGACCAAGGAACACAAGAAAACTGTGCCAGAGAAGTCCCTGAAAAGATAAGTTTGGCTAAGCAAAAACTCCCCTTCAACCTTCCAAAGAGTCCAGCCTTAGAAAGTAAGGGACAAGAACAAAATTACTTGACAGGGCTGCTATTTGCAGTTAAATTAAAAAAAAAATTAAAAATCTAAGGATCAGTCTAATGGGGGAGCAAAGCAACCACTTTTCTTAAGATGTACACATTTTATATATGAAGGAAAACAAACATAAAAATACATGTTGGCATTGACACAAAAAGTATTAAGATTCAAAATACTCAAGCACATGATTATCTGGAGAAGGAAAAAAACACATTTATTTACATCTGACTGATGCACTTCAGCTATTAGCTTGGTATCCCTCATAACAAAAGTGACATCTCAAAAAACAGGTTTGAGCTTTGGGGTTTTTTTAACTTCCTATTACAACTTTTTCCTGCAAGGAGAAACAGGCTGACTCCAAACATCGCTGCCTCTAAAGGTAGGAAGAGTGAACAACAAAGGTAAGCTCAAGACACACATAAAGTGTGTTGGAGGACCTTTGCTGTGCACAATTCACTATCTCCTGCTGTGTGAAAGAAATTCTCCCAGCTGACAGGTTGTGGTTGGGGAGAAAATGAATTTGATCCAAACCGACAATATTTTTAAGACCATTGACAATTTTTATCTCATGGCCATAAATAATGAACCAATGCCTCAAATGTGATTGGTCGTATAAAAAGCAGTAAAAATTCAATACATCAAATAGAAACAAATGACAAAAATATTATTATCAGATCTGCACTTTAGAACAACTCATAATCATAGTGGGAATTTTACCTGTGTTGCAAAGCTTCAAATTTTTCATACACCTTTGGCTTGGTTGTAGCTTCCATCACAGTTTTTGTATTTGCTATGTCAGTCACCAACTCCTGTGCACAGAAGTGCGAGGAAGTTATTGCAACATGAGAACATCAGATTTTTTTTCTACTTCATACTGTTTACTTTATAGGGACAAGAAAAGCACTGGGAAAAAGAGCTGGAAGAAGGCACCTCATCAGCTTGGTTTAGGTTTTATTTCTTAAACGGTAAAAGAAAAAAAAAAATCCACAAACACCTATTTTGACAGTGTTTAGACTGAACGTGAAGGAAATGTAAAATGAACAGAGCAAACTGAACTGGAGGAAAGCAAATACCACTGATTTTACTATTGGAATTCCCCTAACAAGATAAAAGTGACAGAGTAACAGAAGCATTAACTTGTACAATAATTCAGCTCATGCATGCAAGCACAATGCCTTTTTGAATATGCACCATGAAGAAACTTGTGCAAGTTAAACATAATGAATGATTTCATTGATCTTAACAGGATTCTCAACTTGTACAAAGGTGTAAATATAGCGCTTTTTTTTTTTTGCATATAGTTACAGACATGTACACATTGTTTAAATTGCAGATTTAAACAATTAGAAATGTATTTGAAATTTTAAATGTAGAACCTCCCTATAGAACATTATAATATCTTAGCTTTTCAGTATTGTACACAATGAGAAATTTTCCTGGCATGCACGGATTGAATTATAGGTATACTCATAGCACAAGTTATTCTCTTTATTAAGCAAGGGTTCAGTGACTTTTTTTGGTTACAAGAAACAATTAAGACACAATATTTTTTGTAAGTTCTAACGTTTAGGTCAATTGCTGTAATTACCTCGGTCAATAATAAATAGTAGACCATATAAACTTGTATTTCAGCTATTGTCATAAATGACACAGAGTTTGGCAGAAGGGATTTCTGTAACTCAGAGGTATTGTACCTCTATGTGACTCCAGGAGGTTAAAAAGTTAACAAAGTGTAAATAAAAGAAGATATTTAAGTCATGTGAAGGAATGACCTGCAGAACTTTGTCACAAATCATGGTTTGTGACAATATGTGAACCAACAGCTGCCAGTCCGTGTGACAGGAAAACAAGGCAAATAATTATTTTGATTGTAATAATAAAGAATGCAAAATCCACTTCTGATATTCTCCCAAGTAAGCCTGAGAATCCTGTAAAGATGCTAATTCAGTGGGTTAGAAACAAGCCTATTAAAGAAATACTCAAACTAAACTGTCAATATGGTATTATTTTTAAAATATCTATTTAATTACCCATTCTAAATAATTCAAACTCAATATATAAATGGACATAATACACTAACTCTACTAACTTTGAAGTCTCTGTTGATTTCATCAAATCCATTTGCATCTTCAGGCAGCTGGCCTCTGATATCTTCAGAGCCAATGAAAATACTTTTGAGATGAGACCATGTTCATTTAAAAATGACTGAAAATTAAACTTCAATTTTCTTTTTCAAAACAGCTAAATCAGTTTTTATTCAAATTTTGAAAGCAACCACTGGTCCATGTTTCACCCTAGGAACCAAAACCACTGAGAAATTTATTTATTTATTTATTTATTTTAGGTTCATACAAACTTCTTTGGGTTTCCAGCTATAGGATCAACAGCTGGGTAAAATGTATACACCCATCTCTCCCCTTTCTGGTGCTCCCTTCCCCACCACTCCAATCCCCCCCACCACTGTCAGGTCCATAGTTTACACTAGTAGGCTGATACTTCATGTGGCCTTTCTTTCCTTACCTTCCATTTCCCTCTGTCCATCATTTCCTCTGTTCATTATTAAGAAACATTCTCTTTTGCTATCCAGGAAAGCTTCTAGCCACGTTTCTGAGTTTTCTTATAAATATTTAATAGAAATTATACTGGGAAGTATTCCCCTGTCCCAGACAAGACAGAGAACCTTTCAAGCCTAGTGCTATTTTCAGGCTCAG